ACATGTTACATATCGCCGCGAACGTCGCAGTGAGAGCAATCATTTTAGGGCCATCAATCCTGATAACACTAAACTGATGAGCGGTAACAGCTTTTAAAGCGTCGCCTATGGCCAATTTTGGGTATTATCGTTTTTTTGAGGTTTCGCGCGTGCATGCAATTTTAAGGCTTGACATGTTTAGTGTCTTTTTACCCGACGTGACCCCATCTTTTATATTTTACCAAAAAATTGGGTAATAAAAAATGTTTTATCATTTAATATAGGGGAAACTGTTTTTTTTTTTTTAATTTCGGTAATTTTTCCTTAATATAGTAAAAAAATAAAACCCCCAGTGGTGAATAAATACCACCAAAAGAAAGCTCTATCTGTCCCCAAAAAAGGGTATAAAATTCATTTTAGTACAGCGCTGCATGACGGAATAAATGTCAGTCAAAGTACCGCAGCGCTGAATACTGAAAAATGGCCTGGATGGGAAGGGGGTTTAACACCACGGATGTCAACTGGTTAAATCATATGGGAGAGACTCTTCATACCTGGAGGAGCCTCCACCATCTGTGGTTTGGCAGGATTGCCTTGTTCAAGATGAACCTACTTCTTGATGCCTCTACTTATTTCAGACTACCCCTTTATTTCTCCCAATCATATTCTTTCGCAGGCTGAAGTCAGCCATTTTGCGCTATATTTGGAGGGGAAAAAAACCCTAGACTTTGTTACACTATCCTGATTAACAAGAAGGAATGTGGAGGTCTCGCCCTTCCTGACCTGGAGATGTATTATAAAACCACCCAACTGTTACATATTGTTGATTGGTTCAACATGCAGGATCCCCGCCTCTGGTCTGTGCTTGAACGTGACCTTACCCCGATCCCCTTGACAAACCTTTCTTGGCTTCCATTTTCCATTCTTCCAAATTTTTCTACTTTTTACCTTTTTTCCTCCCTGTGGTGCTGAGGGTTTGAAAATCACTCAGGCCAGCCTTTGAGCTCTCCACACCTTATGGGCCTCTGACACCTGTATTGGGTAATCCATCATTCCCTCCGGGATGTGGGGTTCACACCTTTTTGTGATGGCGTTCTTCGGACCCCTCATACATCTACCAATGCCTTGAAAACGGGGCAATGCTGTCTCTTTCTCAAATTTCATGCTCTTGAGAATCTACTTCCTAGATCCTGGTACTCGTTCCTACAATTAAGGCATTTTGTGCTGGTCTTATCTAGAGAAAATCAACTCCATCGATCACTGACGTCTTTTGAACGATTGTGCACCTCCAAACACACTCCCACGCATCCGGTCTTCCTTTTGTATAGTTTTTTTTTTTTGCTCTCCTCTGATCACCAACACTCTCTGTACTATATTTCAGCCTGAGAAAAGGAGCTAGATGTGATTTATTTCAGACGCTGATCGAGCTAAATGTTTATGCCTTACCCACTCACTATGTATGGCCTCTTCGGTACCGGAGCGTAATTTTAAGCTTTTGTCCTGATGGTATCGCTCACGCGTTAAGCTCCGTCAAATCAACCCTGCAAATTTTGACCTCTACTGGAGATGCCATGCTGATGTTGTAACTGACTCGTGTGGTGGGGATACCCATTGATTGAACCGTTTTGGCAAGCGGTCTCACATGTCTATTCCAAGGTGGCAGCCACAAATATTATTATCCTGACCCCCCCCAGGTGGCTCTGTTGTCTATTCTCCCAGACTCCATCTCTAACATAAAGTCCCTGCTTAGCTTTTTTATCAATGCTGCGAGAACTTTGATCCCTAGATACTGGAACTCGACAACTACTCCCTCAATTCAGGAATGGTCCGCGAAGATGTGTTCGTTAATGAGGTCAGAGGAGCTGATAGCGCAATCCTCTGATCGCTATGAAATTTTCTGGCACGATGGAGACCATGGCTGTTGTTTCTTGACTCTGAGGATTTCAATGCATGACATGAGCTTTATATTTAATATATAACCCTACCGACTACCATTATAAATTGCATGATTGGAAGATCTGAACTACTTTTTGAGCTTGGTTAACTCTCCATCTCTCCCACTTTTTTTGTCTTTTCTCCCCTTTCTCTTCTGTTTTAGTCATCTTTCGCTTCGTTCCTTCGTCATTTCTCTGCTTCCTAAATGTCCTTCCCCTTTTCTTTTACTTTTCCTTTTCCTTCCCTTCTACCACTCTTTCTTCCTTTTCCTTCTTCCTTATGTCTCTTGCGACTACTAGATTTCCATCTTCATGTTCTTGTGCGTTACTGTATTATGAGTATGGTGGTAGAATCCCCACGTAGGGACCTATCACTGCAAGTTATGTCCTATTTGCTACCGTATGAACCTTCATTACCAATCCTTGACCTGAGCCTATACCTAGAGCGCCCCTATGCCTTATGTAATGTACTATGATCTTGCTGGAGCTCTGGTGTAGTGCTAGACAGCTGTCTGATGGTGGCTTTTGAAATTTGTCATTGATGGGCCGAACCCAAAATTAACCGATGGTCCTTTTTCTTTGTTTGCTTTGTTTCTTTGGTTGATTGTCTGTATATTCTTTTGAAAATGAATAAAATTTGATTATGAAAAAAAAAGAGCCTGAACTTAATTTGAACCCTAGGACAATGTCTGTTTTGTCAGATTCTCAGCTTACTCAAGTATGGCATGGATCAGCGGCTGGGGAGCACAGTCAAGGGCCAGATCTTGGATCTGGCAGCTTTGGTCTGCTGTCCCTTGGCTTCTCATTTTTTGCGTCACACCTTTGCCTGAGCTATCACTTTAGTTTCACCTTTTAATGCTCATGAACATAGAGGACCTTAATCTGGTTGTTTCTGCACTCCAGGGCCCCTTTAGTGAGCTAATTGTTAAGTTGCTTCTATGACCCTATCACATAAGTTGGCTTTCCTTGTTACCATCACTTTCTCTTAAGGGATGGCAGCCCCTGTTCTTCATCACTGCTCATTTGTCAGCCTTCCAGAATGTAGTAATCCATTTCTTGGGTGTGCAAGGCAGCTACCTGGCCCTCTGTCCACACTTCACCAAGCTCTGCTGTGTGGATGTTATGTCATTGGCTGAAGCCATTTTTGGATCCAAGGTCTCCCTGAAGCTGCTTAATTTAGTCACACCATGATGTTTGAGGGGTGCCTATTGGATTTTTGGAGCTTAAAATCTTTTATTACAGTAGTTAATTGGCGGAAACAGATCCTACCCATCATGTAGGTTTTATGTTGCCATGGTTGAGAGGATTCTGTAGAAGGTCATCCTTACGTGCAGCTGATTTTTTACAGATTGCTACCCAGAAGTTAGCATATTAAGTATATAGAGGTGTATTAGCCACTAGGTGCGGCTGTGCCTTTCATTTTGCTCAGGGTCCAACCTCCTTGAGGCAAGAGGAATTATTTCGAGGTCTTGCCCCCACTTAACTACTAGAGAAACAGCATGTGAGACAAAATTTAAGGCAATTTACCAAAAATGTATACATTTTATTTAATAACGAAGTACACTATGCTCAATGAACAACAAAAAATATAAATCACACCAGTCTTCATAAAATGATTAAACAATTTATAACCCACCCAGAAACTGTCAGTAATACAATATATAAATCACCAAAAGTTAATACACAATATAATCCCAATACATAATTTATTAACAATGTGCTCAAACAATATCTAAAGTATAAAGTGCTCTCAATAATACATTAAGTCCAACAGTGTCAACAAATCCCATGATTGTTCTTCAACATACCTGCATGGCTTTAAAAAAACAAAAACTGTGTTTTTTTTTGTTTTTTTTTTTATTACCAAGGGGCTCCACAGTGCCAGCGTTCCTGGAATTTTGGCTTTGGATTTATGTCCAACAGACACTAATAAAACCCTTACTGGTAAGTAATTTTGTTCATGCCAGAGTTTTTGTTTTAATACCCACTAGTTCAAAGTGCATTTCCACTTTTACAGTCAAAACACAGCATACCTAGAAATTGTTTTAGAACATTTCTTATCCTTTTAGATACCTCTCTGCAGCAGACATTTGGACAGACTGCAGTCTTTTCTCTACCATTTCAAATTGACTGGAAACTCTGGATGTCCTCATAAAAAGACTAGGAACACCCTGAGATTCCTCTCATTGAAATACAATGCTTCTAGATCTTTAGCCTTTTGTTAGGTCAGAAGGTGTTTTAATCTAGTTTACAACTGATAATGAGATTTGCCAGACAGTATAGATGGGGGTAATTATGGTACATCGCATTCCAGAGCAAAGTTTAGTTTGGAGAAAAACTTTTCTTTTTCAAAAAAAATAAAATAAAATTGTAAGCAACATTTTTTTTTATTTTAAGTTATACTATTTGAATGAAAACATGTAACAAACATAAGATACAGCAAGTCCAGTTGCCTTAACTTAATTTTTACAGATATACCAGGACCTGGATGAATGAGAACCTTCACAGACAAACATAAAATGGTTATCACGTAATATCTTTTATAACAGTACTAAGATTGTATGTGGCCTATTGCAGTATTTTTTTTAACTGGGCTTTTATTTATGGGCACATCATAAACTATCTTTATTAGCAGTACTGCGGTTTTTTGCACGTCTTATTACTATATCCTTCTTTCTGGCATTTTCTTTGTGGGTATTTCATAAACTAGCAGAACACTACGATTATGGGCATTGTTTATTGGTATGTTTGTGAGTGATATTTATTTAGTTTACAGCTTTATGCTTTTTACTGAATGAAGGTTTTATTGATCGTGAGACAAATTAGATAAATACATTGAAAAAGTTTTCCTTATGTGGAATCTTTATATCAAAATGCAGTTTGGCCACAATTTTTTACAAATGTATGCCCACTTTATTTTTACTTTTGGATAAGGTGGAGTAAGGTTTAAAAACACTGTCATGTTTTGGTGAGGGGGTTTTTGTCCCATTGTGATGACTTCTCCACTTCCTTCAAAGGAGACAAAGCAGGAAGTGAGAGAATATCCACTCTTCAACAGTTGTCCCAATTGGGCATTTCCTGTCCAGGGGACACCTGCAAAATGTAGAATTTCACATAATTTTTGGTTTCTGTGACAAAAGCCAAGGACAAATAGACACGTTTAATTTCCCTGCTGGAGTGCACAGACAGCAGTAAAAAGGGTTTCTAGCCCTTCTCCACTCTACGCAGAACATTTTTTTTTTTTTTTTTACTTGGTGTGCAGAAGATGTAATAAATCTGCAGCTGTGCTGAATCTAGGGCAACTACTGGCAGTGTTGGTGCAGACCTCCAGATTCTGGATAGCCACTCCAACTACCAATGATGTAGGGGGTAATTCACTCAGCTGCCTCCGGCAGCTGAGTGAGTAGGCGAACGCTGTTTGGCTATTCACTTCAGCCTTGGCTAAAATCAGCCGTACATCGGCTACCTTCGGTCAGCCGAACATGGTTTGCATGTTCGGCTAAACCAAAGTGCAGAAGAAGTTCGACTCAGCCGATCCACCATCTGGATTGGCTGAGCCAAAGCTCTGGCTGCTGTTCACCCCTATTCTCATAGGGGCTGAATGTTAGTAAGTGAATAGCTGAATGCTGCAGAGCGACATTCGGCTCGGCACCTCCGAGGCAGCGAGCAGAATAGAAAATAAGTTATTTAACTGGGGGGGGGGGGTTGAAAAATTATTTTTTTAAATAGGATAATTAAAAAAAAACCAGATGCACGCCTACCCAACCACGAATTTCCGCCGCATAATGAAGCATCTGACAGATGCCGGCAGAAAAAAAAAACCCCAATTGGGTGGAGCTGGCGGTGACATCACCGCTAGCTCCCCTCAACGGTTTCCTATTGGCCGGCACCTGCCAGAGTCTTCAAGCAGGTCCCGGTCAATGAACAACTGTGCAGAGCCGGCCATAACGTCATGGCCAGCTTCGCCCAGTTGTTTAATGACAGATCAGCATCCACAGGTAACTTGGGGGCGCTGATCTGTTATTACAACTGTCAGGAGCGAGCCGTGAGATATCGGCTGGCTTCGCCCAGCTGTCATTTGCATGGAGATCGGTCGGCAACGCAGCTCTATGTTCCACTGCAGCCTTTTTTGCCTGAGAGCTTCAATGTGTACTGAGAGCCAGGGACCTAGTTTCTCTCCAAGGGTCAGAGGCTGGACCATGATGCTGGCTATATTTTCTTTTTTTTCTTTTTTTATTATGGTGATCTATAACTTGCTACAATCTACCAGCAATAGACCATTAAAGCCTTGACCTGCTGCTGCAGGAAAAGGCTGGATAGAGCTTCAACAGCAGCTCATGGCATCACTGACGTAAACACAATTCACATTTTCTTCTTCAGTAGAAAGATCAGAAGCCCAGGATTAATTAGTTCAGGCCCCAGGGCTATGTATTGGACTACAGCTCCAAGTTCGCTCCCTGATGGACAGCAATCTCTAAGCTAAACGTCAGATTGTAGTCCATCACAGGAGCTTGGAGTGGTGGCTTTTTTACAACACACACAGGGACTATGGGGAACAAAAGTAGCCACCCTCCAAAAGGAGTTCCAGAGCGCTCACTGTGAGGCTTGCTAGAGGTTATGACAGCAGGCAGTATACACAGATCAAAACTCTGGCAGGGGTCTGATATAAGCAGAGGCACATGTACTTTCCTGGTACATTTTGTCAGGACAGGAGGCTATGAATTATTGTAAATATGTTACATACATAGTTACATAGTATTTGAGGTTGAATAAAGACATTAGTCCATCAAGTCCAACCTATTAGGATCTCATTCTAGGAGTACCCGTACCCCTGTATATTACGGTCCCTTAAGAAATCGTCCAAAAGTTTCTTGAACAATTCCACATTATTTGCTGAAATCACCGCCTGTGGCAGTGAGTTCCAGACCCTAACTGATCTTACTGTGAAGAACCCCCTTCGCAAAAGAAAGAGGCAATTGTGCTGTGTATGAATCTAGAGATAGCATATCTGTGTCAGACTCGTATCCAGACATATTGCCATTTTTGTCATATATGGGTTCTGTCTGGTGAAAAACTCCCCTACCAGGTGTGAAATAGGTGGGGGCTGCAGGTCCTTATCTCTTAGCCACACCTGTTTCCCCACCCCGTTCATCCCAGAAGCTGGACTGCAACCCGACCGACAGGTATAAAAAATGTTGCAGGGGTAACCAAGGTGTGCTTACTTGGGGGCCAAAATCTAGTTTTGTAGTAAGTTGCCATTTTCCTTGCCGGCAGCCCCCCGGGACAGAATCGAGTGCTTCTGTAAGTAGGATTTCTATCAGTTTTCTCCTTTTTTATTTTTGATCTGTTTGTTTTGTGTAACTGTCTTGTATAACATCTAATTGTAAATATATGCACTGTGATTACTTTTTCTTCATAATAAATCATTAATTTATTAAGTTCCTGCCTTTGTCTGGTATAAGAACCATATATGTTCCTGAGGAGGTTCTTTTAATAATTCGGTGCCTTATACACGTTCGGCTAAATTTAAGTTTATACAGGTGCATGGGAGCGTACAACTAATACAAATACATGTATGCAAGTTACATGCAATTGGTGAGCTTCAGTAAGGTCCCCAGAAAAAGGGGAAGAAAGAATGAACAGTAGAGAAAAAAAGGAATATATGTATAGACAAGTAGGAAGGGAGGAAATGTATTCAAGGAATCCTGAGCAAGGAAAGTAATACGTCGCCCAGCGAGGAACTCGCTTTCACATATACAAACATCAGTAAGCCATACAATAACATAGCTACTCAAATATGCCAATATTTCCATGTATTGCAAAACCTGTTGTGTGATCCATCTTTGAAAGACAAACTTTTTTCATATGCATTGTGAAGATTAATGATAGACAACGTCTCAGAAAGGTTCGGAGAGACCAGGCTCTTCCAGTGTTGTACAATGGCAATCTAGCTGCCAGTAATATGTGGGAAAATATATTTCGATAAGTAGAGGGGACTCTGCCATCCCTATCGACAAAAGGCACAATGCAGGGTTGGGAGGCGTCAGTATGACCGTTACCAGAGAGATCTGCTGGAAGATGTGTTACCAAAAACTCGTAAGGCCTCTACAGGACCAAAGAATATGGTATAGACTGCCAATCTGACTGCATTCTCTCCAGCATGTCAATGGGGAGGATGGGAACACCCTGCTCAATCGTAAAGGGGTGAGATACCAGTGAAAATTTACCTTGTGAGCAAGCACCCACAGGTCCACACATTTGGTCGCCTTGTGGGTAGAGTTGAAAGCCCCCATCCGCTCTTGCGTGAGAAGGTCATGTACAGCTCATCCTACCATCTTTGGAGAGATCGAAATTTAGTGAATTCAAGTTTCTCGTGCAGTAGGTTATAAAATAGTGATATGCCTTTGATTCCCAGTTTCTGCAAGAAATAAAAGTTCCAGGCAGATTGAGGAATTTTACATGTGGTAAAAGTAACATTTTGAAGCAAGCGTGAGATTTGACAGTATAGATACATGTCTCCGGTCGGCAAACCTTATTCCTTTTGGAGCGTGTGAATCGGTTTCAAACTGGGGCCCACATATAGATTGTGGAGAAAATCAATGCCCTTGAGTGACCAAGTGGTTAGTTGAATTTCAGGAATCAATAGCTCTAGGGCTCTAATAGGAATGTTAATGGTGCCACATGCGTCGTTCCTCCCCACATTGGCGTGGAGATGGCGCCATGCCTCCAAGGTCGCTCTGGACATGAATGACAGGCGGCCCACCAATGATGTAGGTAGTGCTCCGTATAGCAGATAAATATAGGTGTTACCCCTAGGGAAAAAAGAGGCTTCCACATCGCACCATAATTTGGAATGTTGCAGGTTCAGCCAAGCCTTCATCTGGTCAAGCAGGGCAGCCAAATAGTAGTCTTTTATATCCAGGTACCCCACCCTTCTGTGTTTA